GTGAATGTGCGTGCATGCCCAAGATCCTGAAAGGAGAATGGAGGAGAAGGGATTGCGGCATGGCCATCCTCCCTGGGGGGTGACTTCTCGCTTTCTGTCTCTCTGTCTCTGTCTGTCTTTCTGGCGAGCGCACACTCCCTATAGCAAAAACCTTTCAAAAAAAAAAAAAAAAAGGAACTTCCCTGGTGGTTCTTCTGCAGTCCGTGCCATCCCCAACCCCAGTGCCTGTTATCGTTGGTGTCATTTTTGCCCTATAGTTGTGTTTTTTCCCAGAATGTCAGATAAATGGATTCTACAGCAATGTAGTGTTTTGTGCCTTGGTTCTTTGCACTTAGTATAATGCCTTGGGAGTGTATCTGTGTAGTTTGTGTCTTTATCTTGTTGAGGAGTTTTCCATTAATGTCTATCATGATTTGTTTATCCATTTATCAGTTGATGGATATTTGGATTGTTTTCAGTTTTACACTATTACAAACGAAGCTGCTATAAACATTTACATTTGGGAACCAGCAGTTAGCGTAATGGCTATGTCGCTGGACTCCCACGAAGTCGACCGCGGTTCGCGTCCCGGACCCGGTGGCTTAAAACTCACGCCTGGCGTGTGTGCATGCGTGCCCAGGATCCCGAGAGGAGAATGGAGGAGAAGGGATTGCGGCGTGGCCATCCCCCCGGGGAGTGATTTCTCGCTTTCTGTCTCTATGTCTCTCTGTCTGTCTGGTGAGCGCACGTGCCCTATAGTGAAAACCTCTAAAAAAAAGAAACCATTTACATTTTACATATGAGGACCTCAGGTTTTCCCCTTTCTCTTGGGTAAATACCTAGGAGTAGGGTTGCCCAGTCTTATGTTAAGTGTGAGGGAACAGTTTGGCAGTTTCTTATAAAGTCGGCATGCCCCTTTACATTGCCGTTAACTGTGGGAGCTCTCCGGCTGCTCCTCCTCACCAGCACGCAGTACTGTCAGACTGCTTAGACGCTAGTCCTTCTGGTCAGTGCAGTGGGGGTCTCCTTGTGCATCTTCCACGTCACGCTAATGATGATCATCGCCTTTGGATGTGCTTTATTTGTTAGAGCTTCTTTGGTGAAATGTCTAACATCTTTTGCCCATTTCTTTTGATATCTCATTCTTTTTTGTATACTGTGAAATCTTTGTGTGAACCAAATTTTAAAATGAAATTTTAACTTAATTTTTAAATACTTAAAAAATTGCAAGCGAGCACATGAGCATGCCAGAGAGAGACAGAGCACCGAGAGGAGAAGCACCTCCAAGAGGGGAATCGCGCTGCAGTCTCTTCTCCATTTCTCCTCCAGCCGGAACTTGGGGTGCACATACCCAGTATGTTTTCAAACCACTGAGGTTGGGATTCAAATCATGGTCAGCCACATGGGACCTGGCTTCCCTTAACCAGTAGTCTAAGGGGCTGGCCCAAATTAAAAAATAATAGTAATAATAATTTACATTTGCTCTAGGGTACATGTGCTTGCCAAAGAGAGAGAGTCAGAGAGAAAGTGAGAAAGTAACCCCCAGGGAGCATGACCGCACTGCACATTCTTCTCGTATGATGTTGGGCCTGCATGCGCATGTGCCAGGCTTGTTTTTCAAGCTGCTGGGGCTGGGACGGAAGCCATGTAATCTTCCCATGTAGGATCAAGCTTTGTTAACCACCACGCCATCTGCTGGTCCCCAGATTTAAAACATTTTTAAAACAGACTCTCGTCCCATTGTTTTCCTCCTGCCTCAGCCTTCCCACTGGGACTTACAGTCACCATATCCCCAGCTCGTTTTTTAGACAGAGTCTTATATTGCTCAGACCAGCCTCAGGCTCACAATTGCCCTGTCTCAACCTCCCCAAGTTGCAAGGACTCCAGGTGCACATCACCACACCTGGCCTTTGGGTTGGACTGGAAATTGACCTGGGCCTCTCTTTTTCTTTTAGACATTTTATTGTTCTGCCTCTTAGTTGTAGGTCTAGGATTCATTTTGAGTTCATTTTTATATATAGTGCAAGGTAAGGATAGATGTACCCTCTCCCCCCCACACACATGTAAATATCCAGTTGTTCTAGCAACATTTGTTGAAAAAAATCTATATTTTCCCCTATTTTTTTTAAAGAATAATTTCATTTATTTAATTATTTATTTACTTTAATTTGACTGGGAGCAGGTGGGGAGAGAGAGAAAGCGAAAAAGCAAGCCGCCAGGCCCAGGACTTGAACCGCAGTTGGCCATGTGGGAGTCCAATGCCCTCAACACCACACCACCTGTCAGCCCTGCTTTTCCCTATTTAATTATCCTCGCACCTTTGTCAAAATCCAATTGACCATAGATATATGAATCTATTTCTACTCTCTTTCAGTGACTTATGTTTCTATCCTTTTGTAAAACCAGTCTTAATTACTGTAGCTTGATAGCAAGCCTTGAAGTCAATAGAGCCCTCTAACTTTTTCTTTTTCACAATTGTTTTGACTATTTTATGTCCATTGTAAGCAGATATAGTTATTTCAAGAATAGTAGGTTGATTTAGTATTCTAAATCAATCAATTTAATTCACTTTCTCAACAAACTAAAAGAGAAACATTATGTGATCATCGCCATAGATGCAGAAAAAGCATTTTGGCCAAATTCAGCACCCCTTCATGATAAAACTCTCGACAAAAGAGAGAAGTGGTCTGCCTCAGTGAAATATAAAATGCTTATAAAATGCCTAGAGGTAACAAGATAGTTAAAGGTTAACTTGAATGCTTCACCCATAAGATTGGGATCAAGGCAAGGATATCTGCTCTCAGTGTTGACCTAGAAATCCTCCCAACACAATAATGCAAGGAAAAAAAGGAAGAAAGATTAGAAACAAAGAAACAGTGATGATGTTTATTTGCAAATGACTTCATTATCTCTGAAAAAAAAAAATCCCCCTAATATATATGTGGGTTTAGCAAGGCCGGAAAATATGTCATCAGCATGCAAAAGCAAATTATATTTCCGTTAATAATAACCAGTTGGGAATTAGGATTCAAAATATAAGAATTGGCAACATCCAGAAATATGACATATTTAAGGATGCATTGCACAAAATATGCAAGATTTTTTTGCTGAAAACTATGAAACGGTGTTGAGGAAAAAAGGCCTGAATAAATGGAGAGGTAGGCCATGTTATAGATTAGAGACTAAATATTGTTGTATATCATTTCTCTACATTGATCCGCAGATTTAATCTAATCCAATTAAGATTCAGGTGGATCTTTAAAAGTACCTTTATCAGCGGGCCAGCAGGTGATACGGTGGTTAGGATGCTGAACTCCCAGATGGCTGACCATGGTTTGAGTCCTGGACCAGGTGGCTTGCCTTCTCACTCTTCTCCCCCCGCCCCACGCCCCCCCGACCGCGGTTTGCGTCCCAGACCCGGTAGCTTAAAACTCACGCCTGGCACGTGTGCATGTGTGCCCAAGATCCCGAGAGGAGAATGGAGGAGAAGGGATTGCGGCGTGGCCATCCCCCCTGGGGGGGTGATTTCTCGCTTTCTGTCTCTCTGTCTCTCTCTGTCTGTCTGGCAAGCGCACACGCCCTATAGCGAAAAAAAAAAAAAAAAGAAATATCTTTATCAAAAAGGATTAACTAGGATTGGCTCTATAGTGGCAAAGGTAAAGGCAAAGGGTTTTTCTTTTTTTAATGTTAGATTCTTCGTTCTCATAAATGGTTTATCAGCCCAGTATTTTCCCTGAAGTCATTCTTGCTGAGTATTTTTCTCCTTTTCCAGCTTCTTCAAGGATATCTATCTGGTCATGTTTTGTTGTGCTACAGCTCTGAAGTTCCATGACTGTGCATAGTCACTCCACTTAGTGACCCCATGTAGAAGATGTACTTTCAAGTCATTTGGGGATCATTCCTGACATTACTGGAATGTTACATTTAGGCATTTCCTGTCTCACCTACCGCATTCCAAGTTATATAATGTCTCTGGTTCCCAAATGAGACATAGAAAAGGTCTTTTCTTTTGCTAGAGGATATGTATACTTTCCAGAGAGAGAGAAGGCACCCCCGGTGGGAAATGGTCACGCTGAATTGCTTTCTTTTTCAGTCTCTCCCTCCATTTGGGATGTGGGGCATGTGCTCAGATATGCCTGGCATGTTTCTCCAGCTCCTGGGTTCAGGACTCAGACAGCACAGTCACCACGTGGGATTTGGTGCCTTAGCCATCAAGCCCGAGAGCCAACCGAGGGACTTTTTTTTTTTTTTTTTTTTTAATCAGACTGAGGAGAGTAAAAGAATAGCCAGGAAAGGTAAAATTACTAGTGGTTCCTTAAGAACCAGAGGAACTGAAAAGACTTGGAGATAATTTAGTATAGATTCTGATTTTTCTCTGAGTAAACAAGAGAGAAAAAGATTGACTTGCCCAAGATATCACAACTAATCTATACACACGTGTACTAAAGAGTTATGTGGTAGACAGCAACTGGGCTTTTTTTCTTGTCATAATTTGAAATTAAAGTTAATTTTTTATAATTACTTGTTATCTCAGCTTTCAAAATATATAAATGCTACTTTTATAATTGCTCATGATTTATTTCCTTTAAAAAAGAGGAGCTCAAATAATATTAGTCATAATTTAAAAGAAAGAAAATCTTTATCTAATACTTTAGAAGTTATAGAAGAAGAAAGGTCTACCATCGGTTGAATATGTTAACCTGCTATAGAAAATTTCCTTTATGTTTTTACAGCACAGTTTTTGATCCATGAGTAAGAAACAGGAAATTTGCTGGAAATGTAGTCAGTCTATAGATATATAATTGTTTTCCTGTCTTTGTTTATTATAGAAATTATGAGCCATGTAAGTTCTTTTTATCTTCCATTCAATTGATTGGGAAATAATTTAGAAGCTTATTTTTGAGGCTTTCTTTTTTTTTTTTAAAGATTTCTATTTTAAATAGCTTATTTTTTTGATGTTACATCAATAATGTGTTTTTAATAAACTTGTTCTGTTTGTTTTTCTCCTCTTTGAATGTAAGTTAAAGAGAAACTGACTGCAGATCCAGACAGCGAAATAGCCACAACCAGCCTAAGGGTTTCTCTGCTGTGTCCAGTAAGTATTAACTAATACTTGCTTCCCAGAAGGTTAAATACACTTCTCTTATTATTTAAGTATTTCCGGTATTTGAGAAATTCTGTTTACTTTTAAAATACACCCTCCTTTGTTACAGTTTCTGAAGAATGGGAAGACAACTAGGCATAGGATTTGGAATCTAAACAAGTTTTAAATTTTTTCTACTTTTAGCAAATATCTAAATTTGCCTGTAATCAATGGCTGTATCTCAGGCTCAACTATAAAATTTCAAAAGGAGGAATGTTTACTATCTCAGCATATTTATATTAAAAAAATTACTTGTTAAAATAGTACCCCAGCCACAATAACACACATATCCAATTTAATCATTTAGCCAACAGCGACTGCATTATGACTGCATTATGACCAATTAAAAACTATACTGTTCAGCCTAAAAAATTGAATTTGTTTTACATATAAAACTAACCTGGCAATATTTTTTTTTTTCTTTTTTGGGGGAGAGGTTTTTGCTATAGGGCACGTGTACTCGCCAGACAGACAGAGAGAGACAGAAAGCGAGAAATCACCCCCCAGGGGGGATGGTCACGCCACAATCCCTTCTCCTCCATTCTCCTCTCAAGATCTTGGGTACGCACGCACACGCGCCCGGTGTGAGTTTTAAGCCACTGCGTCCAGGACGCGAACCGCGGTCGACTACATGGGAGTCCAGCAACATAGCCATTACGCTAACTGCTAGTCCCACCTGGCAATATTTTTAAGCCAGAAAGTGAATTCAAAATCAATAATTTGTATAAAGTAAACGTATGATTTTAAGACTTAATAAAATTAGTAAACCTGTAGGGAAAAGACTGTTTAAAAAATGTGTTATTAACATGGACCAGCAGT